ATATCTGCTTTAAGTGGTAATATTGTTGAGACATAGTAATATTTAATTCTGATATTAAGTTTTAAATTGCCTCCTACAATTCTTTATAATCCAATTTACTAAGGAACGGGGACAGAAATAGGAGCTGAAAAATATAACAAGAACAAAGTAACAAGCTTGGTTTTTTTTTTCATTGCTCGTGAAGTACAAAATTTCGATATGGGTGTAGTAGATCCCATTTGTGGCTTTCAAGTATATTAAAATCTTAGTTTGGATTAATAATGAAGCCTAAATAATTTTTAATAAATCTATATTAAATCTGTTGATGTAATAATTCTATCCTTTTTGCAGGTTCACAAAAAGGATAAGAAGTACAAATGTATGGTGTGCAAGAAGATTTTCATGCTAGCAGCCAGTGTTGGAATAAGACACGGATCTCGGCGTTACGGTGTTTGTGTTGACTGTGCAGACAAATCTCAGCCAGGAGCACAAGAGGGAGTAGACCAGGTACAGGACACCGATTTTCCTAGAGATGAAGAGTTTGAAGAAAATGAAGTAGGGGAAGCTGATGAAGAGCTACCTGATGATATAGAAGAACAGAATGACCAGACTCGGTGGGATGAATCTGGGGAAGTCTGTGTGCCTTTAGAAGACTGAGGAGATTTGATCTTATAGATGCTTTATTTTGACGTCATACAGACTGACCATGTTGAATTTTTGGACTGAAGGCTTGGAAAAAATATGGTACAGGCTGGATGAAAGTTATGTTGCTGTGAAATTTATAGGGTTAAAGCCTTATAGCAAAAAAAGGATTATTAATTTTTTTAAAGATATTTGCACAGGGCTGTAAAGCATACAGTCATTTGGTTGAATTATATAGAGTCCTCACACCTACAGTCAATTATCAAAGTAAAAATTATTTTTATTATTTATAGGATATTGCTATTTGGGTCCTAATCTGGTATAGTACTTAACTATGCCTATGTTAATCATTCATGTGTTTCTTAACATGGATGAAATAAATTGCAATTTTTGGAGATGGCTCCCTTGATTCCAATCATAGTTTTTGAACAAAAGTGGCTAGTCTGCCATAGTGGCTCACGTTTCCTAAAAGGAGGCTTTACCTCACTTCTCTTGCCATTGCCCTTCCCCCAATAGTTTAAATATCCAGCTTCTGGATGACATGAATCTGTGTCACTTAATTGTGTCAGGATATGGTGGCTGACAAGTCCTGGAAACCTAATCACTGATATTTAATTTCCTGAGTTACTTAGGTTTCAGTACTTTTGAGTTTGCAAAATGCTACAGCTCTTTCACCAAATGTTAATAATGATTTAAAACTGCAAGGAAGATTGTGATTGGAATGAAAGAAATGTTCTCCTTGTCACTTAAAGAACTTTATGTTAGACACTTTTTGGCGTGGCTGCCCATATTTTAATTTATGTTTTTGTTAGCACTATTCTATTGGCTATTACTTTTATTCACTACTGTATACCTCAATCCATCACAAAGCTTAGAGTCCTAGAATCTGAAAAGGAGTGTAATTGATATTTTTGATTTTAATAGTCCAGCCCAATTTGTCTGCTTTTGTCTAGTTTTTGTTATGTGGAAAATTAGACATAAGGCTGTCTATTTTTTGTGCCCCTTTGCTTTTCATTAAAGTAAACACAAACTGAATCTTTGCTTCTCTCCTATTTTGGGGGTTCTTTTATATACCAAACAAACTACGTTTAACTTGGCAGCTTAATTTGCTGGAACTTCTTTTTTAAAAAAAGAAAATTGTTAGTATAATTGCTGGAGCTATTTATCCCCAATGCTCTTTGCTTCTGTTTTTGGATGAGAAGTTGAAACTTGAATTTTTGTAGCCATAAATCTTTTTCTAAACTTGTTATATTGTACCAATGATTTCAGGCCTTTTTTTCTGAGGGAAGGGAGGGTATTGCACCTTTTTTATGCTTAGAATTCTCAGCTTCATCTAGCCTGAATGCACGTGAGCTACCTGAAGTTTAGACACTGCATTCAATATATTACTATGTCACAGTGAATAAATATGCACAGCATTTATCATAATACATAGCTAGGCCAGTGTGATAGTACTGTATTATAAGTTGAGGGTCACCATATTTGAGTTTATTAACTTTAAAATGAGTATATTTTCCTATTTTATATCTGCGAACTAAATTATGGTAGTTGTGTGGTAAACTTAATTGCTTTGACAGATAGAATCTTAATGGTGCTCCATCTGTTCAAAGTTTATATATATATATATATATATATAAAATATATATAAAATATATTTAAAGAGACAGCTTTATTATCCCTTATTTCAATACAACAATGGATTAATGTTAGACACTGTTTCTGCTGGATGAAACAGAGACTGAATCATATGGGTATTAAATTGTATAATCTTTTCTATCCAAATACATCATTGGTAGATTCCACATCACTGTAAACCTGACAGATAAGTAGTTATTGGGTTTTGTTTTTAAGAACTGAAAACATCTTATTCTCTTCTAGACTGAAATGAGTAATGTGTAATTCTGTTGGGGTCCAAAGTAGAAAATAGTGGGGAAGCATAATATGAATGGGAAGTATTTTAAACGTTAAGTAAATGTTCTGCTCTGTGAATATGTAAGTTATAAAGATTTCTTTCATCCCATTTATTCCCCATAAAATAGTTTACAATTGATCTACCTATCTTGTCCGAAAATCACCTAAATCTGCTTTATTATAACATACTATTCACTTAATGCTTAAACTGGACCTGGCTTTACATTCTTAATGTATTTTACTTACTCTCTTGAAACCGAATCTCCTTTTGCTACTTAAATCATTTGTGTATATCTGGTAAATTATGACCAAATCTGTTGTTAGATTAAATACAGTAAATTGAAATATACACTTGGTACACTACAGAATTGTTGTGATTTGTTCGAGTTATCTTTTAAAAAAACCTGTGGATATATTCAGGATTTTTGTTGGCTTTGGATAAATAATTGTGCATTTTGCATCTCTAGTCAGACTTTTTTTTAAAATTACATCCTAAGTGTGACATTTTGGCTATTCCTTTAACAAAACATAAGCATTGTCAAAATTATTTTATCAAAGAAAACTTGAATTTAAACAACTGACACCCCATGGCAGTTGCCTCTACACCGATCTTTTTATTGGTTATGACTAATTGGGAAAAAAAGTGTTGGTCATTTGTATTTTGGAAAAAGTTCTTTATAAACCAGAGATTAAGAATCAGTTATTGTTGAATCCTAACTTCTACATCAGTCCTCAAATTGGCTTAGATTTCTGGGGTATACGTTTTGCACAGCTATTAAAAACCAATCCATCTAGTACCTTTATTTAAGATGGATTTGGACAGTTAGCTATATTACTATTAAGCAATTTTCCAAAATAGCTTCAGGCAAGAAGCATGTTTATTTAAGCAAGCTTTATTTCCTAAATACACTGTTATGGTATGTAAATGTACATAACTAAAGCAAAATATAGTAATTTAAAAAGATGCGTGTAAATATGTGAAGCATAATAAAAAGAATAAAGTCCATAGTTTAAATTTTATTTATATATTTAAGCTACTGCCTACAATTTAAGAAACTGCAAGAAATAATGTAGATGGTAACTCTCAGTCTCCCTCTCCTAAGGGTATGTGCCTTAGTTTAGCTCTGGACTTTGTTTATAGCTTTATAAGAATTATGGCATTATGGTAATATATTTGCTTTGCTTAGCCTGGTTACTTATTTTTTCAATCAAATTAGTTTATATAAGCCCCTTTGAATTTCAATTTTCCTATATATATGTCTGCAGGGATTTATAACATTTTAAAATATATTAAATACTTTTTGTATATATGTGTATTGTTTTAGCACCCAATAGAGCATGGTACTGTTCTATTTATGCAGAAATATACGATAAAACCCACCAGCTCCATCTAACTGGATATGCACACTGCGCTAAGTATTGTTAAATTGAACATTCTGAATCATGGTTCACTATCTTTTCTTGCAAATGGTGTTTTCTCTCTAAGAAAAACCTGGGAACTCTTAATATGCATCCAAAACAGCAGTCTTAATTTCTGCATTCTCTTCTAGATTTTGACATATTCATAATCATGTATATTTTGTTCATTAACAGAGAGACCAAGTAGAACTGCTAAAAGGAGTAGTAGGGCTAGGCAATTAATTGGAGCTGGGGCATAGAAAATGATAGCAACTTGCCAAGTAAACAGAAGTGTAAAAACGCAATGATTTAATATAAACCTTTTCTCAGTTTGACAGTTCATACATTTGTGTGCAAAAACGATCATCTGAAACAGGAGACAGGAGAAGATCTTTGAAGCAGTCAAACAGAATCTTTAGCATGATATAGTCCTGCTAGCAAAGTTGTGGGAATTGAAGTGCCCTTTCAAATGATTTGCATGGCTATCCTAAGTAATAGATTCTCTACTGAATTGGTGCTGTAGAGAGAATTGTGTAGAACATGTACAACAGCAACATGGCACTAAGCTCTTCTCTTCATACTGCTGTGCTGTAAGTTTGTACATTCCATGTACTTTTGTGGTTAGATTTCCCCTCTTTATAATTGGGTTAATTTGTACTCAATGTCTGCTCAATGGGATGATTCAGATGGCACTAACCATTAGAGATATTGTGAAGAGTTGATGAATCAGATCCTTTATAGAAGTAGAATACAGAAAGAATTCTGAGTTTAAAAAGGTAATTTATTTGCTCTTTGAGATGATCATGAAAACATTACACAGTTTTGTTGTATGCTGAACATAATAATGTCAAAAAGAGTACCATGCAAGCCCTATTTTTTCACTGGTACTAATTTGTGACAATTTCATGTGTGAATTTGATACATTAATAATGAGAAAAGTATTAAAAGTACCTTGAAATTAATATTTAATATCTTGAGAATATACAAATACTTGAAATATTATCTAAAGCAAAAAAAAATATAGTTTATCTTCAGATATTTCTCTAAGTCATTTAAAAAAATAGTTCCATGTATAAAATACAACAACTTAATTTAAAGAAACTTTTCAAAGAATGATATTTATATAAGCGAAAATTAATTACTTTTTAACTTAGTTCATTGAACTACAATTTGTTGTTAATGTATTGGTGATCACTTTCCCCTTCTGTGGAATAGAGGGCATATTGACTTCAGATTTCAAATTGTTGAGATCACACGACAAGTTATAAACATGGCTATGCAGAAAACTGATTTCATTGTGGTTTTCAGCAATCTGTAATAGGAAAAGTTAATTATGAATATTGCAATAATTATTCTAAATTAATCTCTCCCCTCCCCCCTCTCTTTATCTATCTATCTATCTATCTATCTATCTATCTATCTATCTATCTATCTATCTCTATATGAGAAATTTGACATGGTGACCTGGTTTCAGAAAAATACAATGTACTCGTGTAAATTCAGAAAAATAAATGTTTTTTCAGGAGCACCATCCCTAATTCGATAGTACATAACGGAATCAGCATTTTGAAGAAATTTTAAAGCAAATTTCTAGCTGCGTAATTTTCTCATGTCTAACGTTGTTGCAGAAAGGTGGGAGTGGACTTGTTCTCTTCTACCAGATCCAATTACTTGGACACCTTTAGATTAGACTTAATTTATTAGCTTTAAATGCCAATTTAGAAACTTTTATGCTAAAAGTTGTCAGCCAGTAATCTGAAGTCTTCAAACAGGTTGAATAACCAACTCTAAATTCCGTAATGGATCTAGTATAGCGCAAGGAGAGGGAGTAGATGATTCCTGTCCTTTTCTGAAAGTTTGGTTGGTCCCTTAACACTTTTATCATGATATATCAGAGGTTATAGTACTATCTACTGAATTTTAAGCACCAAATGAGGATTCTAGTCAAAAATACCTGTCACAATACCTAACTGCTATAAGGGTTTTTGAAGCTGTGTTCTAGAATTTGCTGCTATAGTTGTTAGAGGCTTACAAAGTTGGAAAAAAATGTTAACTTTCCTATTGTGAAATTGAGTCATCTATTCTTCCAAAACATTTAATAAAAGTATCTCTAAGAATACTGCAGGGGGAAAACCCTACGTAAATGTCATAGTTCATGTACCCTTCCTATGTCAGGAAAACTGGTTTGGCAACTATTTTCCAGTCTTCATTTGCCTAATCCTTAACTATTTGCAAGCTGCTCAGCATAAACAGAAATCTGAATCTTTAATTAATGAATGTAAAACAGTCATAATTGCTGCAGAGGGGATCATCTGTGGCGATTTTAATCTGGTAGAGACCTTAGCTGGTTGTCAGTCTTTTGGGATTGATTTCAGATCTGGCTCTCATTCTAAAGTCATACAAACTATCCAGTAGAATGAGAACTGGACAATCATGTCAACTTATTAAATATGCAGAAAGGTCTTTTTGCGGGAATCTTTTTTGTGGAACTGTTAAATATGTATGGAACACCATTTTTAATCTGGTTTATTGAATTGCTAACCATGGCTTAAACATTTAACTTTTTTATATCTTTAGGATTTTTGTTATATGTTGCCCAGGTAATGTGTATGGTATTGCAATAACAGCCCTCTACTTTTTGCCATAATAATAGTTTTCTAGAAATGCCTGACAAACTTTGTTATCAAGGCAAGCTAAATTCTGCAACATATATGAAGAAGCAAACAAAAGAAATATTTCTTTACTCTGCTAACCTTCAAAAAGGACAAGATTATGTGGAGTCACTAAAATGTATGCCTTTGATTGCTATAAATCTGATTCTTTGGTTTTCTGAATGTTTTGCCTACAATCACATTTTATTACAAAAGTAATTTGATCATTGGGTGATAACAGTCACTTTTGGCATCATGCAGAATGTCTGATCTAAAATGTCCCAGTGAGCTCCCATGGCAGACTTAAACCCCAACACTTGTGTGTCAATGAAAAAAGCAACTGATGCTGAAGCTAGAAGAAAAGTGAAGCCTTCTACTGATGCTAGGAAAAGCAGGTTTAACAATCTGCTTGTTATAGCAACAAAATACTATACACTGGTGAAAGAAGTCTGTGAATCTTTCACACACACTGTAATTCTGCAGTATGGTGACCTTCAATGTGGCAATGTGATCAGAACTTCAGTAAGGTTCAATTAATAAAGAGATTGACAAAAACTGTGTATTGTGTCATGTTTTTATTATTAAGCCAACATTCACTGACTGCTGGAGAAAGTATGTAGGTCCCTAGAATAATCAGCTTTTCAATTGATAACTTCAATCAAATGACAACTCATATGTGTGTTTGGAGGCTCTCCCACAAAGCATGGTGCACACATTGGTGGCTCCATCAGAACCTGTTGTTTATGAAGCAGGTTTATGAAAGTGAAACTTGTCTTGATCCAGTGATCTCTATGGACGTTTAAAAAAAAGATTGTTGAGGCTCATATTAGAAAATTTGATCGAACTTGGTTTCTATCATTATAGTCATGCAGTTAATGATAATTGCTTCTCCTATTGTATATAGTATAATGTATATACTCTTCACGAATAGCTGTTCAATAAAGATCACTTCAAGATGAACCAGGGTAGCTTTTAGATACCAAATACCATTACTTGCATATTACCAGATTCTATAAGAGAAATGTCACTGTGTCTCTCTGAGCCAAAGCCTAAGCAAATATGAATCATGCAGCAGAAAAATGATCCTAAACAAACAAATCAGCAACAGAAAGACAGATACAGAAGAATGTTTGCATTTTCAAATTGTTTTTCTAACCCAACTGAAATGTTCTGGCAGAACTTGAAGAAATTCACAGAGTTTCAAATCACCAATAAGTCAAAGTAGTTTTTTTTAAAAGGAGTGGGCCAAAATCTCTCCCCACATCCACCCAGAGTGAGAAGTTTATTAACAGTTCTTAGATGAACTTCAGATCACACTGTAGGCCATGTACTGCAGGATTATGAATGGTTCTAGAGTTAACAAACTTTTGTTATTGAAAGCCTCAGGTCATTGTGTAAAACAGTGATCTCAACTTGACATATACTATAATCTAGCATCCTTTCCCCCAACTACATGCCTCTGAAGGAAATCCAGCAAGACACAAATACTTTGCTCTTGCCTTATCCCGGAGTCTCCTATTCAATGATATGTTATCCCTGAACATGAAGATCCCAATAGCTGCCATGACTAATAGTAATCACTGATGATCCTCCTTTGAAGCACTTTAACCCTGGCTAATGAATTTTGTAATCTTAATTCACTTAACTGTAAATTTCAGGCAGGAATGCACAGGTTGCTTTCGTTCTGCACGCTCGCAGAATTGTATCTGGCTCTCTTAACTGCAGTTTTCATAAATATTTTATTCTGAGTCATAACCAGACATTTGCTCCATTTTATACTAGACATTATGGAAATAAATATGGACAACAAATCACAGAGATTCTGTCTTGTTTCCCCCCCCCCAAAATTTACATGCATAGAATGTAAATAAAAATATACGTTACTTAAGATACCTGTTTGTGTATTTGAGAAATATGTTCCACCCAATGATTTTTCTCTGTTCTTAGTTTAGAATTTTCCAGTTGCACTTTGATGTGTTGATTTTCTAAATGAATTAGTTGTGTATGAAGATGTTGCCTTTTGTGATCTGTAGATTTTCTTTCTTGTAGATGAAGTAACTATTTGCAGTGATTTTGAAATATATTAATTAGTGTCTAAACCTCAATTTTATTTTAAAATGTCTAGTTAATTAACATGCGTACATTATAGGCTTCCTTGATTTTAATGGAATAAGGAAGATTGTTCAGAACGGATATATTTATATTTATTGTACATAAGTCACATTTACTGGCAATTCTTACAACATCAAAGATAATTCAAAGACTACCTTAATTTTATCCTTAATTAAACTTGTTTTAATTTAAATTTAATTTTGACTCTACAAAATCCAAGGGATATTACTAGAATTCCCTAGTACAGAAAGGGAGTGTATATTGACTCTTGTGTTTGAGTTTATTTATTTATCAAATTCATCAACTTTATATAGCTGCCCATCTCACAAGTGACTCTAACCAATAAATAACAAAGTTAAAAAGAGGTAATAAATACTACAGCAATATTATAAATATTATTTATATAAGTGATAAAATCAGCCTCATTTTGGGGGAAACTATTCCATAGGGCAGTAGCCACAGCAGAGAAGTCCTGTTGCTTAGGGTCCAGCAAATGTTGCTCCCTAGCTAATGGGACTCTGTGTTGGATCTGGACAAATGAACAGATGTAATCAGGGAGAGGCAATTCCTCAGATAGCTAACTCCATAGAATGTTAGGTTTTTAAAGGTCAAAAACCGCACCTTGAATTTGCCCTGGAAACAAGCTGGCAACCAATGCAGCTCACAGAGCAGTGGCTTATTCTGTGTTCTACTAGGAACACATATAAGTAACATATTTTGCACCAATTGAAACTTTTAGTTACTCTAGCACCAGGTAGAGTGCATTACAGTAATCCAAATAGGTGACTAGTGACTATGAGGAGATGCCCTCAACGTAGGAACAGATGCATCTGGCACACAATGCGAAGTTATGCGAAAGCCCTCCTAGGTAAAACTGCCACCTGCTCTTCAATCAGGAGTCATGATTCTAGAAGGACCCCAGATTGTCAAGCTGTCTGTCTGGGACAGTATATCTCCATCCAGCACTGAAGATGGCAAAGTTGTAAAACCAGCAGGTCCTAAAAACCAGAACCACTCGGTATTAAATGGTTCACGGTTGAGATAGATCATCTCCAGCATCGCTTAATTCCTCAGGTACATCTATGTTCTACCAATGGAATTTGAGTTACATAAAATATTGTTACAACCTGTTCCTGAGCTTTAAGAACTTTCTGTCTTAGGTTTTGTAACAGAGTCTTCAAGTGGGTGAGTTTCCGCTTCAGTTGCCATGTTTTCTCTCTTCCTGATGTTAGCTCAGACACGCTTCTTGAATAGGAAGTAGTTTCCTCCTCTCTCAGCTGCCTTTCCTACAACATTTATATGAGTTAGTGTATTAGTAAAAATCATGGTATCTTTTCCTCTGATGTGCTACTGCTAATTCTCTTAACTTCACACAATTGTTATAAGACTAAATAATTAAATATCTACCATTTCTTTTAAAAAATGAGCATGTTGCACATGCAGTAGCACCACCTTGTCTGTAAAAAAGAGATGAGCAACTAGGAATACAACTGATTTCCTATTTCATTAGTTTCAAACTAATTTCAGTCTTCTCATGCAAGAGATCAACTCAGAATTTGGGAAGAATTATTTTATTCTCTGCTGCATGGAAGACAGAGGTTGAGAGACAGAGGATATCAGAAAAAAATGATTAGTTTTGGCCTCACTGAATCCTGAAAATATGAAGAAATGATTTTGGAAAATAGTAGTAAAATAGCAGTAAAATATGCTGCTGATTTCAATGCCTAAGCCATAAAATTGCTATTACCACTTTTCCAATCACAAGACGTAATAGAATTTAGTTAAAGGCCTTCTATTATTTTATCCTTTATGGCTATTACTATAGTAAAATCCTTCAAATTTATAATGTTCTGTTATGTATTTTTGCATGGATCTGTCAAACAATGTTCTGGAAATTAATACAGAGAAGAAATCTTGGACTGAATTTTTTGTGTGGTTTCTTTTAATTTTTTTAAGATTGGAATCTGACAAACCTGAGGCCTACCTGGTTTAGATGCTTAGTAGCTTTCTGTATTTGAGCATGTAAAACACTATTTTCTTTTGTCAGATGTCCACAATCTTCTGCCATCTTGTTGAGCAAATACTTATCTTCATCAGCCGAAAGCTTATTTTCCTTGAGTATCTGCCTTAATTTTTCAGCTTCCTCACTAGGTATAAATCATTTTAAATATTAGCTGTAATGGATTGTTCAAAAATAAGGTTCTTTTTTAGTTGTATGCTACCACTATCTCTCCTGATTTTATTACTATACTATGCTATACTATAGATGATTATGCAGAAATGCTTAGCTATCCAGTGTGAACAAGATGTATTGAATAGTTCTAAAAATATTAAAAGGTGGATAACGCAAATGCCTTTACCTAAGTTCCTTAACAATAGTCTCTTGTGCAGATTGGGACCTCGTTGATAATTTCTCTTCTAAGCGGTAAAGCAATGCTTGCAGTTGTGTGCACTGTGATCTGAGTTCTGAAAGGTTTTTTTCCATGTCTTGGTACTGCCAAATCTTCTGCTGACACTAAATAAAACATATAATAAAATGAATGCTAAACATTCCCTTCTGTCAGGCTTTGCTGTTGTTGGAAGCATCATTAAGGATTCTTCTGGTGAGACTATAGAGCAGAGGTGTCAAACTCACAATGACATGTTGTCATCATGTGACGTATCGCAACTTTTTCTCTCTTTGCTAAACCAGGGGTAGGTGTGGCCAAGGCATGACGCATCCAGCCCGTGAGCTGCAGGTTTAATGCCCTATTTCTAGCATAAGGAATATACACTTATTATCTGTTGCTTATATAGCATTTAGGCACTAACCTTCCAGATTGCCCATTTGTTATCAGATACTGCATAACTCTAGCATCTCTGCAGCTTGTTCCTTGTGATTAAACCAAATTTCACCAGATTTTAATTCTAGTTTTACTAAAATGGGCACTCATTGCTAGAGGAGGTTGATGGGCATCCCTGTTCATAATTCGGGAAGCCGTATTCATTTTAATACTAGAGCTAGCTCTGAATAATATCAATTTTAATCAATTTCCATTTGAGCAGACATGAACATGAATTTTAATGCCCAAGGCTTCCCATTAAACTAATGAAAGCTGTTGTTTCATGACAAGACTGAAGGCTTAATTGACAGAGATGACTGGCCATTTCATAGAACTAAAGTTCCAAAATCACTTTTCAGGAACTAAGAAATAACATAGGCTTGATCTTCAAATAATCCAAGTCAGAAATTTTTACTTTATGTATGAGTAGGTCTACATAATGACCAAAGTTTTCAGAACTATATATATTTTAACGTTTGTACTTCAGAAAAAAGTGGAATTATAGTCTTCTTCAGAAATGTCATCTATTTGTATTAGCAAAAGCCTATTGAAGACACATAGTTTAGATAAATTATAGTTTAGGTAATAAATGCATATTATTTTCACTTTTAAGAAAGAATTATCTATTCATCACAAGTCTCTCATGTTAAAATTAAAATTAATCCAACCATATAGTATGCCTCTAACATAGCAATAACTCTTTCACAAATGCATTTGGTAAATGTCTTAACTGCAGTAGCTTACTTTTGATTCCAAAAGACAGACAGCATGTTCTTTTTCTTTCACTGAATTCACAGTCTCTTGCATTTCTCTCTGAATTTTTAGCAGTTCTGCTTCTTTGTGTGAAATATCCTGGGTAGAGTGTTCAAGCATTTTCTTCAGTTTCGTAACCTCCTCCATTAATAGCAGCTTTTCTTTAGCACTTGCATCTGCAGGAAATCATCAGGATCGCTCCACACATTTAAAATATGTCTGGTCTTCCTGTAAACATCTATTTCCTTTCTTGTGTGACTGCTTAGTTGAATTATGACACTAAGCCTCCAGATGTTTCTGAGGCTGGGACTCTAAAACTACTTATTAGGAAAGATAACCCACTGAAACAAAGCAGGGCTTATGTCCAGATAAAACATGCTTACAATATGTGAAGAATGGGAATAAACAATATTTGAGTTGCTGCAGCACCTTATGTGCAACTTCTTGAAAATCACTAGGCAATTTTTGTTGTGTAAACACACAAACAATGTGTACAGAGTTATATGTTTGCATTATAGTGTCCCTCAGTCCAGGAAGATAGCTAGACAACTTTGCATTCAAAATCTTGGAGCTCTATTTCCTTTTCCTTTTGCCCGGATTACCGTACTTCTTCCAACAGCAACACAGATGGGAATGCTGGCTCTAGCAATCTGAGTTTCAGTGTCCTCCATTATTGTGGTTTTAGTAGGAAGAGAAATATCTAATTGTGATAGGTTTGTTTATATATAAAAGAGGTTGAGGGGCGATAGTAAATTCAGGTATGAATGGAGAATTCTATAGTTTATACTATGGAACTCTCCCCTCTCATGGAAGAAATATAGCAGATGTTTAAAAAGTTTTAGAAAATAATTTTTGGTGCTTTATCCCACCTACCTTAGAAAGGAAAGTTGTATCAGAAGTGACTGGATTCATATATTCTTTTAGCAATGATAATCTTAAGAAAGGCTTACCAACTGTCCCAATTGTAGTTTATAAACTATGATTTAGGATTGTTAATACAACATGGATAAATAGCATCTGCTCCAAAATGGGTATTCTAATAGACATCAAACAAATATTCATATTTCCTAATCTAGCAAATGTTGGGAAAGCCTGAATTTCCTACACTGGTTAGAGTAACAGTCTTTTTTCTCCTTTTCCTTAGGACTTATAAACAAGTTCATCTTAAAAAAAAAAAAAAGCTTTGCTTGGTATTACAAGTGTGATTGTAACACAAAGCTTCTGTGTCTTGTAAAGCCAGATTTTCCCAATTTCTGATAATCCATTATCAGAATATAGAATATAGTCACATTCTATACTGAATAGGCTACATTTTAGATAGCCGTTTACAGATATAGAAATTCAACAGTGACCCAGTTCATATACATAAATTTAGCTTAATAACAAGAATGACACCCGATGAGGAGAAGAGTTTTTCATTACCAGACAGTACTTGAAGACGTTTGTGTATTGCTTGAGTTTCAGTTTCATAATGTTTGGTGCTATTTTCTTTCTTTGCTATATCTATTTCTGTTCTGTTTATGGTGGCTTCCAGTTCCTTTGAAAATATGCAATAGATTAATTTCATGTAAATGCACTTATTTCAGTTGAAAGACTAGTAAAAGCGCTTTAATAGCTGACTAGTATATCAAGTGACATACAGGTGAGATCCTCCTCAAATTACTGCCACCTAGAGAGTTAACATTTTATTTCCCATCATTCACAATCAGCACCGCTAACAGTTGAAGTCAAATGTCCCGAATGACATCTCATTGAGGAAGATCTATACTGATTCTTAACAATGCCAAGAAACTCACATCCTTCTTACTTTCTGTACCCTTCTGTATTTGTGTTTCTTTACTCATCAGTTCCTGAACAAGTGCTATTCTTTCGGTATTGAGGCAAATATGTTACTTATAAAATAAATTATAACAAGTGGAATGTTGGAATGTTTACATTTGGTAGAAGAAACATTATTAATCCCCGCTATGCTGCTGATGCTAAACTGATAGCTGAAAATGCAATGATTTGCAAACTGTTAATATAATTGAAGGAGTGCAATGAAAAAAATAAATGGAACAAAGATTAAATTAAAGAAGATCAAACTAATCATAACAGATACAACAACCAGCCTTAAACCTGACAGTAGAGATATTGAAAGTGAATAGCTTTGCCTTTCAGAATCAATAATTAAGTAAAAGAACCGGAAATTTGCCACAGTCCAACAGAATAGAGTAGCAATGAAGGTTTTAGAGATGCTGGAATATGTCTATACATATCAAGAACCATGTAGGCTATGGTTTTCCCTGTGAGATGTTGAAAGAAAAGTTGGACTTTAAACAGTATAGAATGAGGGTTAAGTTTTTTGAATGTTGGAGAACACTGCTGAGAATAACACAGGCAGCCAAGAAAACAAACATGGATTATTAAATAAATAAATTTTCATTTATTCATGAGTTTTAATTGTGACACAAGTGAATGGGCTCAAATTATCATACTTTGGATGCATGATTGAAGACCTAGTTCCTATACCTAGAAAGATGGAATGAAACAGAAGAAAGAAAGAAAGAAAGAAAGAAAGAAAGAAAGAAAGAAAGAAAGAAAGAAAGAAAGAAAGGGAAAACCAATAGCAAAGTGGATGTTACTGTAATGATTAGTGCACTGCAGGAAGACTTGAAGGACCAGACTAGGAAAAAATCATCATGGAGAAAATTTACCTACAGTATGTGGTCACTAAGAATTGACACTTATTGATGCCGCTGAATCCCCCAAGCAATGGGGTAGCTCAGTGTCATATTAGATTAGCTTGTTTACATATACACTACTTAGTTTAACTGAACCACAGTTTATTAAAGTAACTTGGTTACCTCGATTTACACAATAGGCAGAATTACCTAAAGTGGCTGCACATTAATCCATAAACTAATGAAGAAAAGGCATCAAATTAAGGAATAAATAAATATGATGAGATCATCTACTTAAGTATTGCTCTATAAGCAATTGCAAGGATGGATTATTTCTACAAACAGGTAAATTATGTGATGTTATAACTAATATTTATAATTTAAATAAAATGAAAAGCCTATGCTATAAAGAGCCAGTGCAAATGCAAAGATATCCTTGACAATATTCCTTTCAAATGAACATGACGCTTTATTAAACTGACAGATTTATTTTTTAGAAAGGGTATCTTAACGATGCTTAAAGAAATGCCAACTTAAAAGCAACATGAAGGTGCTATAGAAAGAGCATCTCATATGGCCACAGAAACCTGTAATGATTGTTGAGGATACTGACATTGGAATGGCAGTGCAAGAGAACCAAACCAAACCTTAACAGAAGTTACCTTCAGTGTCTGCAACAGCTTTGTGGCTTTTCTAGTAACTTTAGGTGGGATGTGTGTAGCCTTCTTAGCCTTCTCTCTAGTTGACGGTGCATGATTAAGGAACAAGATATATGATATTTGCAAGATCAATTCCTAGTTCCAGAAACAGGTCAACATCAGAAATATGTTAATAATCTTGAGTCATCATATTAATTTGCTATTATCTTCATAAAAATATGATCCCCCAAAAATCCAGCTTCAAAAATGCTAAATTTCTGACAAGAGCATGTGTGGTTTTGGCACTCCTTTTGGAGCACTAAATATACACGATTTACATTTTTGAGGTGGGACTTAATGTAAGTTTTTTTCAATTGTCTTAGAAATAATAAATTACTTTTCAGGGTTTTTTAAACAGTATAAAAGAAAAGTATCCATATGCAATATAAAGGAAGATATAAAGGTATTATTTAGCTTCCAAACCTGCATTGTTTTTAGATGAATGCCTAGGGGTTAAATTTTAACTAATTGTTAACTAAGCTTATAACTGTATATCTCGCTGCAAATAAAGTAAGGATATACGATTCTTACAATGTCTGAAGCAGAAAATTAAACTTTAATAAATAAATAAATAAATTTAATTTAATAAAGTGAAGCACAACCCTCTAATATGATATATTGCCAACAATACCTCATTGATATTTTACAAAAATGAGTATTTTGAGCAGCTGAGGCCCACTGCATTGTTTGGACCAATTCCTGTTTGTTCTAAAATAACCCAAAGCTAAACTGGGAGGAGCTTTTGATTATGTAGGAACTATAAAAGGTGTATCTCAACACATCTCAAGTATTGGATTTCCTATAAAGGCAATGTTCCATTGCTCCAAATGGAAGGCAATTGTTGGCTTTGAAGTTCTCTGCAACCATTTCCCACCACAGGAAATATCTATTCAATTGATGGACTTTATTGGGATCCAATATCTGGAGGGTATAGATATCTGGGTGGGGAGAAACACATTTTGCTTAATCTAAACAAGACTGAGCGGCTCTGGGTTTTAGGCCCCAGGGATCTGAAAACATTTTCTATTTAGTTCTGGATGGGATTGTACTTCCCACAGTCATAATTGGTGCGCAATCTGGAGGTAATTTTGAGTTGTGGCTCCTGTTAAAAGGAAATGGGGCAATAGTGGTCAAAAAACCCTTTCCACAGCTACATATTGTATGCCAGTAGAAACTCTTCCATGATCAGGCTATGCTCATGATTATCCATATTTTCATTACCTTCAACTTGGGCTATTACAACATTCTGCACATGGAGCTACCTTTGATACCATCCAGAAGTTACAATTGGTCCAGAAGATACTGATATAGAGAGCTGAAGGTGCCAATGTAACATTATTATTATACCACCAGTACCTTTCTACAGGCTCTAGGTGCAATTCAAGGTACATATTATTACTTACTAAACTCTTTAAAGCACAAGGCCATATTATCCGTGGGACCACCTACCTCAAATTGTTTCCCCATCCTATGAGGTCTGGGCATGCTTCAGGTTTACTCCATTACACAATACCATCTAATGGGACCCAGAAAACATCATTTCTCTGTCATGGTGCCTGTCTTTTGGAACACATACTCTTCAAGATTCATATGGCCTAATCCTGCTGGCCTTCCACAAGTGGTTGCAAACTTCATATTTCCCCTGGGAACTGAGTTAGGACATTAGATTAGCCCATCTGGAAAACTAACTTTTTTAGGATTTTGAAGATGTTTTGATTTTTATCTCTGTCCACTTATATTGCATAGTTATGGTTCTTTATGTTTTTGTTAATCTCTTATTCCTTTTAATCCTTTGTTAGCTGCCTAAGTCACAATTTATGAGTTAGGTGGTCTTACAAATTTATAAATAAATAAGTGTCATTCCAATTTTGGAAACACTGGAGAAAGTACATGATATACCGTTAACAAAAGGTGTGACTTAATTTTGTCCTAAATAAAGAGAACTGAATATTGGGAAAAGGAAAAAAAAACCTATCACATTGTGTTTTAGAGAAAATTAATCCAATAAATTGTATTCTTTCATAACAAACAGGCATGGATCCTTGGTATTCAAAATACAGAACATTTTAAAGTTGTTAAGAAATACAGCTAATTTGGAACAGCCATAAATACTTGTAATAAAATTGCATTATTTTAAAAGGATATAGATAAGCCGTCTCATATTCTAGTAAGCAGATTTGTTTTTGCAAATTCTTTATGTACTCAGCTTCAAATGAATTGATGGAGTTCATCTCACTAAAAAAAAGGAAACACAAACCATACTTTAATATATTAGTAGCTACAGATTGGGGTGGGGGTGGGGAGATGCGATTTTCATCTCTTTTGTATCATGAAACCAATGAAGATTTTTAAAAGCTTCCAAAGGAACATTGCATTTTTCTTTATCTTTCCTTATATACATAACAATCCTTTCTTTTTTATGCATTTATACAATTTATAGGCCACTTTCAATTATAAAAAAGTAAAGTAAAGACCTTGACTTCTAGAGCTGCCTTAGGCACCAAGCCAGCTAGGTAACCATGAGCCAGTCACTCTCTCTCAGCCCTAGGAGGCAGACAATGGCAAACTACTTGTCAAGAAAACTGCAGAGATTTGTCTACGTAGTCCCTGAAAATGGAACAAGATTGAACAAAAGGGAGAAAAAGTTAAGAAAAATAAACAGATAACAAAAAAAAGATGTTATGAATAACATAACATCTCAATAAACAGATCAATAGATGTTGTGGATGGATGGATGGATAGTAGATAGATACTAAAGTAACCAACCCCATCCTTTACACATTCAATAGGGCTTCAATTTTTATCCTGCCCCAAGTCTGGGATTATAACCAGGTCTTTAATAGCTTCATGCAACATCCTCAGGATGGGAGTCATTCAGATCCCTTGAGTGGGGGAACATTATTCCCGAGTGAAGGCACCTAACAGAGAAGGCATGCTTGCCTGCTCCCACTAGATTTACCTGCCTGATTGATGGGACCTAAGCAAGGCCATTCTTCTGATTAGATATGTAGAGGATTAAAGTGTATATGCTGCTTAAGTTTAAAATTGGATCTGCCAAAATGTTTAATTATGGACAAACAGCCTGAGTTGACATATTTCCTGTGATTTGTCTTAACATTAAGTTTGTACAAGCTTGATATTCTTTTGTTACTTTCATTTTGTATTTCATAGAATTTCATGATGCATGTCTGCTACATTTAGTAATGTTTCGTTGATTACTAAGCCCTTGTTTGGAGAAGTACTGTTTGTTTAGAGAAGATTAAGGATGTATAAGGTTGCAGTTTTGAACTCAGTTGAATTTCTACCTGAGTAAATCTGCACAGACATGTGGCTTCAAAATGTATAATGATATCCTTTATGGTAGCACTTAAGTTGCTCAGGAGTAGGAACCTATTGCTCTGCTCTGCCTTTTATGCCTGAGACTCTTGAATGTACCCGATTAGCTGTTATGTGACACTGAATGCTGGTTTAGATTCAGCTTTCTGCAGGGTTCTTATAATCTTAAAAGGACTTCCAACTGGCTTGAAGAGTCATGGATTGGATCAGTCTGTCAATCATCTCTCTAGCAACCCAATGTTAATATTTTATACCCCAGTCATTCATTTTTGACTCAGTGTTAGAAACCTAATTATTCCATTACAGAGAAAACAATCATAGCAATGCTAGTTCAGAAAGAATCCAAAACTAAAATTAGCTGAAATCTTTATTGGAATCAGGCAAAATGATTGGGCAAGATTTCAAATTCTCCAGGATTTTTCTCAAACTATTACAAAAAGAGGCAAGGGGAAGAAGTAAGAAGTCAGAACTCTAAGAAACAGATGTGCTGACTCAGTTCTGGAGCAGCAGACTCATTCTCAAAGTGGAGACTGGAAAGCAAATGGATGAGTACAGTAAATGCATTCTGTTGGGGTCAATATGCTGACTCTGTAAACCGCTTAGAGAGGGCTGTTAAGCACTGCTATTAACAGAGGAGAAGAGACAACAATATCCAGTTTGGGGCTTTATGCCCAATTTTCTACAAAGTTCACCCATTTTCCCTCCTGGCACGTCAAACCTCTGAGCTTGTGTATCCTGAAATGATTCAGGAGGACAAATGGGCTGTCCAGCCTTGTCGAGGTCACTACACTAGCAGAAGGGCAAGAATAATGGTCCTTCCGGTTTTGGAAGCACAAAGCCCAATAATTCCTTCTCCATTTGAGAAACTGAGGCAATAGGTGGAAACAAATGACTCCCCCCCCCCCTAGCTAGACTGGAACCCGATCCTCTCCATCACCAAGGTCAGCTTCAGCATCCCCACCAGAAATGCATCTTATCTTCTGATGCCCACTTCTAAATGGTTTTTAAAAAAAAGATGCTCAAAGAAACCTGAGCAGATCTTCGAGGTTGGCTTTTCACTCCGACTCCTTTGAATACGCCCAGCAGCCAAAAACTCACCCACCTACATCACCGAGACCTCTTTCTCGAAAGGGGAACCTGCAGTTGCGACTCGGTGGGAAAAAGAACTCCCGGGCTGGACCGACTCCTGTTTGTCGGCTGGTGCCATAGAAACCCTTGCCTTCCTCCCGCCCCTTGTCATGCGCAGACTCCTAGGACGATGCCGGAAGGATGTTAAAAAGTTCGCGGAGCAAGGCAAGGGGGCTTACTCCCGTTTAGCATGCGGGTCCTGGGCGATCGCGACGTTCGTGGCGACCCTGCTGTTAGTAGAGTTTTTGCCGAACAGCCCAGCTGGGCTGGGAATCCGAAGAGTAATGGCCAGCAGCCATTACACCTGGGGTTAAACTTTAAGCAAGAGACGCCGTGTGAGACTGGGTTATAGCAAGCCAAGTTTTCGCTTCCCTTAGTAAAGAGATCTATGACGATCGAAAATATCCGGCGTTCTTTGAAGATATCTTACTGCGGGTGAGCGTAGTGACGTTTTCCAGGTGATAAGCAAGTGGGATGAATAGTAGTGCCTTTAATGTTGTCTTTCAACCCAACCTTTAATGTGAAGATTTTGTTGTCAACTCGCGTTTCACACCAATCCTAATAACAACAGATGCTCCCTTGGGGATTTCTTTTTGGTTTTGTGCCTAATCTATTTAAATAAACAACACTCCAAAAAAAATACCCCATGCCGAATGTGTTTGTGAAAAAAATATCCCGTACAGAATGTGTTTGCCTAAAAGCTGACTGAAAACAAGCAATTTAATGTATGAATGTATTTATGGTGATGACAATTCTGCCACATTATTTTTTCTCTGTCAAGCACTTGTTGGCTAATAAAAACAGAAAGCATGCTTAAGACATTTATGTATATTTCTGAGAGATATTCCTGATTTGCTGTCTTTGGAGCCTGCTGATCTAATTCAACTGCTACTAACGTCCACTGGAATGTGGAAGCAAGCCTTATAGTTTATAATGGGGCTTGCTTTGGTATGTGTGTGTGTAAGAGAGAGAGAGAGAGTGAAAGGTTAGCCAGGAGATTAGCAAGAAGATTAAAATGTGACTTATTAGTTGTGCTGCACGTTTGTGAACCAGTCACATTAGTTCATGGTTCAAATCAGGTAAGAGGATTAAAGAATTCTGGGTTGTTGTTTTTAAACAATGGGTCATCATTGAAGAACTTGAACAGTGTGTATGTGTGCATATAAGAATTTTCTTACAGGCTAAATTTTCAGTACAGAGAACGCATCATTGAGTATAATATGTGCTCTTTTTGAGTAAACAAGTGGAAGTTTTATTTTCATGGCTGTGAGTCTGCATATCATCTGGGTCAAGAAACTAGATGAAAAAATGTGCAATTGCACTTTTAATAGTTGTGCTGATGTGGGAATTTGTCTAAGAAGTTGCAACCACTGAAGTTCCCTCTTGGGCTTGAGCAGGTAATGCTGATTATTTAAGGTACCAGAATTCTGCAGAAGGGATATCTTTATAGTCTGTAGTGAGTTGCAGCACTGACAGAGAAAGACAATCACAACTCCACACACAGTTACACAGACCAACCCAGTGGTCGGTCCATAACTGGGTTCATGTTTACATGAACAATAAAGTCCTCCCATCCACCATAAAATACATTTTTTCCTATATAACAGTGCCCCCATTCCCAGGGGGGAGTTAATTGTAAGTATTTACTTTGCCCACTTTGGTGGCATATCTTCTGATACAAGAAGCTCTGGTAGTGCAGTGATTAGAATGCAGTATTGCAGGCTACCGCCAGGAATTCGATTCTGACCAGCTCAGGTTTGATTCAAGCTTCCATCTTTCCAAGGTTGGTAAACTGAGGACTCAGATTGTTGGGGGAAATATGCTAATATTTGTAAACAGCTCAAAGAGTGCTGTAAAGCATATGGAGCAGTATATAAATCTAAATGCTACTCAGAGGTGGTATTCAGCAGGTTCTGACCAGTACTGGAAAACCGGTAGCGGAAATTTTGAGAAGTTCAGAGAACCGGTAAATACCACCTCTGACTAGTCCAGTGGCGGGCCGAACTGGTAGTGTTTTGGCGGCCTGGGTCAGGCTTCAGCTGTTCATCTGCCTCACTGATGTCTGACTCTGAAGGCAACTGATAACTGGCATATGTCTCTGGCCCCCTCTCTGCCTCCGACACAGAGCCCTCATCAGAGCCTTCCCCAGACTCCAGGACTGGCCCATGTTCCTCCCCAACCTTATCATTGTCTGAATCTGCTGGCAGCTCTGCTGGCCACTGGCAGGCTACAATGGTTTGAATCAAACTGTGTCCATCAGTTGCCTGAAGTTGACCAATCTAATAGGACATGCTTCCTTGTACTGGAAGGTGGTGGAGTAGTGTCAGAGAACAGCAAATGCTCCAACACAAACAACAGAACATGTGAATGACCACTATTAATGCAAAAATGGTCTGAAAGTCCAACAAATGTGGAGGCTGACCACTTCTAAAGACAACCTAAGCACTGATATTGAACGCCCTAATTTCTTATTTTGAAAATATTTTGGAATTCCCTGCATAACCCATTGACCCTTCCAGGTCTGATAACGTTTCAATTACCAGAATTCTTTGATTGTGTTTGGAATTCTGAGAATTGTAATGTCAACAGACGGGAGGTGTCAGAAGATTGTAGAAAGTCATGTTCAGGGATTAGCTTTAGCTTTGTATCTGTGATCCTTGTAAAATTTGAGCCACAATGAGATTGTGTTCATGCAAAATAGTTCTTCATTGTGTTTACAAAGTGCAAACTATAAATACATGTTTTATTTCAGATGTCTACATGTCTGTATTGTTTTTTTGTTTTTGTTTTTTTGGCAATGATACAGAAGTGGTTTGCCATTCTGTTTTTTCACAATATTTTTTTATTAATGGGGGAAGCCTTAGTTCAGCCCATAGGCCTGAGATTTTTCTGGTAGTCTCCTACACAAATATTAATGAGGTCTGACATCTGCTTAGCAAAGCCAGATACACGTGTGAGGTTTTGCTCTCTTAAATTAATCCAATCTTAGGGCTTCTCATGAACCATGAATTGACCACATGAATTGCGTTCATAAAATATGGTTAGCTAGTCTGAAATTTAATGCATTCAATAGATGCAGGTTTAGTTTCAAGTAAGAATTTCCAATAGATTTTTAAAAAGAAATGAATTCCTATGTTTTCAATCAACCGTCTTTCTCCAAAGTATTTGACTTTGCCTTCTGGTAAGTCAATGTTTCTGTTAAATGACATTTATCTGTGCTCCTGTTTCCAAAGTGTGCATTTAATTATTATTTTTATATGTGCATGTCTCAGGCTGGTAACCAATAACCAGCAATTATTTGTGCTTATTAATATGAATACACTAGTATAATACTTGCAAAGAATGGCAAAAATTTCCAAAGTTATCATCTAAGGCAGTGGTAGTCAACCTGGTCCCCACCGCCCACTAGTGAGTGTTCCAGCTTTCATGTTGGGCGGTAGGGGTTTGCTGTAACTCTGCTTTATAAATTTTATAAAGTAAAGTTACTTCCCTATTTTATAAATCACCATTACTGTGGAAGCCATGGGCGGTTAGAAAATTTTGCTACTAACAGAGATACAAAAGTGGGCGGTAGGTATAAAAAGGTTGACTACCCCTGATCTAAGGAGCTGCTCAAATCAGGCTGACAGAGTAATGATGCAAAAATGTCAGATGACCATTAGATGGCAGGAGTTAACTTTTTGTCTCTAGACTGCCTTCTACTAATTGTCTGGAGCTTTGCAACCCAAATGTGCAATGCATCCCAAGTTATGGACTTTGAATTTGCAAAGATGTACAACGAAGACTTTGTATGGGACTTTATGTAGGGCCATCAAGATATTTCCTGTGTTTTACATTTTATATTTTTAATCTTCTTGTTATGTTATCCTGTTTTATTTCACTCTGAACCAAGAGTTGCTGTTTCCATTTTCCATCTGCAAATTGGTGATTCACAACTGACTCACCTCACAAAAGGGATACATCATGAGGGTGGTTTTTTTTTTTTTTTTGAGGATGCTATATACCATATTTTTCAGCATATAAGATGCACCAGAGTGTAAGACGCACCAAGGTTTTTTTAAAAAGTAGGTAGGTAGGTAAAGGGATAGAGAGGGAGAGAAAGAGAAATACAGTAGGTAGGTAGGGAGAGAGAGTAGTTAGGTAGGTAGGTAGGTAGATAAAGGGATATATATAGAGAGAGAGAAAGAGAGAGAGAGAGAAATACAGTAGGTAGTAAGGGAGAGAGTGTAGATAGAGGTAGGTAGGTAGAGGGATAGACCAAGAGAAATAGAGAGAGAAATACAGTAGATAGATGGGGGAGAGAGAGTAGGTAGGTAGATAGAGCGATAGAGGAGAAATACAGTAGGTAGGTAGGGAGAGACAGCGTGTGTAGGTAGGTAGAAGGATAGAGAGAAAGAAATAGAAAGAAATACAGTAGATAGGTAGGGAGAGAGAGTAGGTAAACAGAGGGATAGAGAAAAATACAGTAGGTAGGGAGGGAGAGAGTGTAGGTAGGTAGGTAGATGTTTCCAGGTGTATTTATTCATGTGCTGAAGAAGGAAATCGCTGACAATCTGCAGCACCTTAAGACTTTGTTTCTGCTGGCACAGCACCTGATCAATGTAATTCTCATCAATCAGTTAAAGAGCTTTCCAAAAGGGAAAAAAAGGTTTTTCCACTCTGCAAACCTCCCAAAAACGGGCCGTTTTTTATAAAAAAGGCATGAATAGCCTTGGGGGGGGGCTTGCAGAGTGTTTGGGGGGGAAGAGCAAAAACCGGCCCGTTTTCGCAAAAATGGGCCCATCTTTTGTAAAAATTTTTGCATACATAGCCTTATGGAGGCTTATAGAGTGGGGACGGCCCGTTTTCACTCATTTCTGCCCTCCCCACCTCCCAGGAGCTCTTTGGAAGCCTCTATAAGGATATGCATGGCCATTTTGGTAAAGGAGGCAGGGTTTCAGGAGGCAAAAAATGCTATATTTGATGTATAAGACACACCCAGATTTTCAGCCTCTTTTTTGAAGAAAAAAGGTGCAACTTATACTCCAAAAAATATGGTAATTCTTATAAGAATTATAGCTGTAGTTGTATACCATAAAGACCAAGAGAAC